ACAAGTTACCAGTGTGATAACCACGGTAGGAGGAGAAATTCAGGATGCCTCGGCCCGCAGAACTCATCGGGGGGTCCGGACAGATTTCCAGGAGCGGGTCGTCCAGGCTGAAGCCTAAAAGCTGGATGGGGGCGGCCAGACCTTGGCAGGTAAAGTGCTCCAGAAGCAGAGGGTGGACTGTGGGTGCCCAGACCCCGAATCCACAGTGCTGATGGGCGGATGTTTTTATTTCAGGTTTTTACTCAATAAATCTGTTAACCCATGAAACCATCAAATGTGTCAGGGGTAGAATCAAATTACACACTTTGTAGATATTATTGAAGATTTAGGGAACTTTTACCCTTTTTGAGACCTGGCATTTTCCCATAACCAAAGGGACTGAACAAGTCCTGCAAACAGGCTGGGCATGAATGAGAAGGGAACAGAGCTGGGTGAAATCTGTGAGAACTGGAATTTTCTTCTTTATGAAATGGTTGTTTACATTTGCTTTAAAAAATTGATATCTTCTGGCGAATGTCTCTAGGAGAGAAAGCGAAGGCTATTTCTGACCAAGAATTCTTCTACTTTAAAAGTGCTGGCCACGCTTAGATGGTGAGACTTGAGATAAGAAATTGTCTAGGTAAATGGATTGGTTCAGTAGAAGGAAAACTAATCAGGCGTCTGGAGCGCTCAGATCTACCGTCAGCTCCAAGCAGGTCTGCAAGGAAGATACCCCTGGCTCCTGTGAAGATGGAGCAGGAGGGGATGGGAAGGACCAGAGGTTCTGAATGCTTTGGGGTTTTAAGAACTGTGAGATCCTTGAGTAGTGAACATTTCAGAAATAAGGTAGACCCAATAAAAGAACTGTGGGAGGACAAATGATGGAAGGGAGGCCATGGAGGAGATGGAGCTAAAAAGCCCATGGAGAAGAATTGGAAAGAAAAATACAGCCAGAGAAAATGAGGGAAAGGGTGTGATGGAATATGTAGGGTTTTAGCTGCTCTTCGGTCACCAATGACTCCACTATAAGAAAATAAAACAGAATCCATTCAGAATACAAATCAGCTAGCAGACCCCCAATGAAAGGTATTTCACAGCCGAATTCAATGTTTTGTTCTGATTTCGGTTTTGGTGAATAGTTTCAGTACAAGACTCAGAAGAATGTGTTGATTAATAGAATAATTCTGATGGTTTCCGTCCCACCACCAATGGTGGAAGAGAAACCACCACTAACATCAGAAAACACTTTGGGGAAATGCTGAAAATTGCATGACTCTGGACAAGTGATGGCTCTCCGACACCCGGAGGTGCTGGTGCGGCTGTGCTGGTGATGGGGGTGGGCATGGTGGGGTGTGCGTGGTGTGCTGAGGGTTCTGACACCAACTAAGATTCTAATCACCGATTATTCCAATGCAAGGGGGCAGGGCTGGGGGGTTTCTACACCACCGAGTCACTTCTCAATTCTCAGATACCAGCTGGGTATCCTAGGATTCAACTCAGTTCTGGCACTTTCTGCCCGGGGATAGCAGCAGATCCCACAGGTTAAGGGCTCAACGCTACAAGACTGCCCGCCCAACTCCCGCCCAGTCCAGACACTAGTCACAAGTCAAGGAGTTTATTCAAGGAGTTTGTCCAGTTTCATCTAAATTGCTGAATCTGTTGGCATCAGGTTGTTCTTAGTATTCCCTGTTATTCTTTTAATGTTTGTAGGATCCACAGTGATAACCCATTTCATTACTGATACTGGTGACTTCTGTTCATCGATGTTGTAGTATCTATCAGTACTTCACTTATTTTTATTGCTGAATAATATTTCATTGTATGGATATTATACCATATTTTATCCATTCATCAGTTGCTAGGCATTTGAATTGTTAACATTTTTGGCTCTTATAAATAATGATTCCATAAATATTTGTGTACAAGTTTCTGTGTGGACTCCTCTAGCTTCTAAATTGGTTTGCTACTTTGATCCCAACAGGCCTTCCCAGTTACTACCCACGTTCAGGGCCTCATTGCTGTGTAATTAAGTGAGGTGATTCCCCTGAATCATGTCCCTGAAAGGTAAGCGGATCACGGAGCCTGAGCTGGATTAAGCCCTAGGGTGAAATATTGAGATGCCCGGACACCTGGACACTCAGGTGGCCTGAACTTGTAGTCATCAAGCTGCTGCAGGAGGTGCAGAAAAAGCCACAGCAGGTGCAGAATTTTAGGACTCGGTTGAGAACCTTTGCTGAAGAATTCTTGTGCAATATGTGATTTGTCAATTCGTGTTAATGAACGCACGTACTGTTAAGCAGGATTATTTGCCTCTTGGATTGGTCTGTTCGTCTGCATACTCTTTTATTCCCTGGAAATCCTTGGGAGTAGTTTGTTATATTCCAGAGGAAGATTTCATCCCTTGGGATCCATTTCCTCTTCTTCAGTTTGTATATAATGCCAAGGACAAAATGACAATAATTTCTTTTTCTTTCACGTTTTTTTATCGTTTACCTTACCCAGAGCCACCCCTTCTGAAGTCTGTAAAGGTTCCTGGTGTTAAGTGAGAATCTGGTAAGTTCTTTTCATTTTTAATTTTCCTTTTAAAGGGCTTGTGGATGAAATTATTGAAAGAACTTTATATCCAATAATAGACGGGGTCTTGAATTGACTTAGCAAGTAGAGAAAGGAAGGAGCAGAAAGAGGTTAACTGTGTGTGAATTTATAGATGTTTTGGTGTCTGGGGTCTATGTAAATAATATATTACCTCACTGTAAATATTAACTCTGCTAGAGTCTAGGTCTTTAAACACAAATTACCAGGAGCTCCAGGGAATAAAGGGACCCTCTGTTCTTAATGATCTTTTTAACACCAGCTCCAGGTACTAAGGACCCTGCAGGGAATTCCTGGCATGTGTAGTCCTTAAAATGCTGGTTTCCAGTGTTGAATAGTTCGTAAAGGAACAAAGAAAAGGACTCTTCTCCACATAAGATAACAACAAAAAAACGCTAGCAATTAATCCTTTAAAAACAATTACAGTAATTGCTATTGGCCTGGAGACTCCAGGCTTTTAAACACTCAGCAATATTTTTTTAAGTAATGAAAGTGGAACTTTTGAGCAAGATTTTAAGTAGAGGCAAGGCTTGTCTGGGACACACGGCTCGCACGTGTCCTTCCGCTCTGATTCGGACTCGGCCTGACTGGCTGATCTCTGCCAGCCTCCCTGAAGAAAACACAGCAGACGCTCCCTCACCCCCCACCTCCGAGTGTCCGAGTCTCGAGTCTCCTTGTCTCATCCCTGCTTCTCCATCTTCCTCTCTTAACTTCTTTGAACCTCAGTTTTCTTTCTTCTAGATGAACATCTTTTGAGGCTCCAACAAGATGTGTTGTAAAGTGTCTAGTATCTGAGAGGCGTACAATCAGCACTTGATAAATGAAAGCGACCCTTAAAATGTCCCAGCACATAAAAGACACTCAACAGACAATAAGCCAAGCGGGTGGAAGGGAACTTTTGGAGGTGACGGACGTGTTCACAACACAGACTGGGGTGATGGTTTCATAGATGCGTGCCTGTCGCAGAACTCGTCAAGCTGTACACATTAAAGGCCTGGTGCAACAGCATTCCTGACGAAAGCCATTCTTGATTTTCCCCCCGAAAGGCACAGAGGAGAGCATTTTGTTGCATCAGACCTTCTCCTGGGATCGTCCACTCTGAGTCTGCAGTCACAGAGGAGCACCCGGAGTGAATTCTAAGAGGATGTGGCAGTACCCCAGAAAAATAAACTCTGGGAACTCGGTGCCCTATAAAATGCCCGCTTTTTCTCAGAGGCAGGGAAATGCAAATTTGGGTCCTCAGGAGGCTGGGCGTGTCCTTCATTCAGTTAATGAGTCATCAGTCACTACTGAGCACCTACAGTTAAGCGCCAGGCAGCGGGGTGAGCACGGGCAATACCGCCATGAGTCACCACGGTCTCCACACTTAACGCAGGGGCTTGGGGACACGCGGGGAGAGGGGTAGATGGTAAGTTACAAGACTGTGGTACACACATTGTACACGGTATTGAAGGACATCTTTCCTCACCCTTCCTTCATCTGCTTTGTGACCCGGTTCCTGATCAGGTGCTGCCTCACCCAGCTGCACCGTCCCTGGCAGGTGCAGATTCTGATGACGGGTGAAGAAACAGGAAACCCGTTCTCTCCAGAGGCTCCCCAGCCACACTGCAGCTCTTTGCTGTTCATTTCTGAAAAGGACACGGTCTGCATAGGCTTCTGGTGGCGCCTCCTCCCCACGTGTCCCCAGGCTGCCTCCAGGAGAGGCCGTGGCGGGGAGGAGGGAACAGTCTCCCGGCCAATTCCGAGTCTCGACTATGTGCCAAGCCCCCGTGCTGGTGCTGTGGGGCACATTACCCTTTATGTTCACCCAGCCCCGTGAGGTAGGTAGTAATACCCTCATTTTGTAAATGAGAATTTGAGATCTTATAAAATTTCCCAAGATCTCATATTGAGAAGTTGCCGAGCCCACACTCAAAACCAAGTCGATTTGATTCATTAGAAACACCTTAGCCTGGGACGGCCTGTGATCCGAGACACAACATTGTAAACTATACTTCAATTTTAAAAAAAAGTAAATGAAATTAAAGACATTACACATTTTTCTTTTTCTACAAATATGTGAGCAATCTTCCTACTACCTTAAGAAATACGACCGATAAACTTTCAGAATCTCAAAAACCATTACAATCACCTTCTGGGGTGACACTCCCGGGAGGAGACCTGGAGGAGCCACTGATTTGTGGGGTCAGACAGGAGGGACGGTCCTATCTGGCGGGTCCCCCCACTGTATGCTGCGACTGCGGCGACAAGCTCGCCTTGACGTATCATTTTCCCAGAACCCACATGTTACACACGTGCACGTGTTCCTGTGCCCAGGGCATCACACAGGACATTAGCGTTGTCCTTCACGGCTGGGTGGATTGTCTGAAAATTTTCCCCCAAAATGACCTCTTCTAGCAAAGTCATTAAAATCAATTTAGATATCCTACCGTGGGTCCCTGTCACTCCAGCTTTGAGACAGAGGCACAGCCAAAATTTACTGATGCAAAGCCCGACCGATCACCTGGGAAAGGAAAAGAGGACACATAGCTCTCTTGTGTTGTTTGACACCCCTGGCTAATTAAGAAGGACGTTGACACTTGACTTCGGGGAAACTAAGTGGGAGGGGAGGGGACTGTGTTTTAAGCAAGCCTGGCTGTTAAAGCACTGTCCTCCACTCCCTCTACTTTTTCTTTAAAACAAAGTGGACTTCATTTGGCCGAATAATTGAGGAGAGTCAGACCAGGCAAGTCTCAGCCATGTGCAAATGTTACTGTCTCATGCAGAAAAAGTTGAACAAAATGAAGGTAGAATCTGCAAAGGAACCTGGGTCACCCAGATAGCAGCAGAAATGCAACTTTGCATTTCTGGGCAACGTGACGACTTGTGACAATCGCAGTATGTGTTTTGTTTTAAAACTCACAGTGGCACGAATTCTCTATAAAGCTTCACTCCTTCCTTGGCCTTTTTCCGCAAGCTTCTGTATAGAAATCACTGAATGGAGTTTTAATGTCTTTTCTGTCCAACATCCATCCGGCCTGCATTTCCTTTCGGGGAGCAGCGTTTCCCCCAGGCTCACATCCAGTGCAGAACATGTGACTCAGGCCTGGCCACTCAGAGCACAGGATCCCTTCAGCCACAGTGATTGGTTCAAGGATGAACACATGACTCTGTTTAGTCCAAGCAGATTATGTCCCAAGGCTTACAGATTTGAATGGGAGGTCTGGAGATGCTGGGGCAGTTTATTTATGAATAGGTCAAAAGGTAGAAAGAGAGAAACCAAGTTCTGACCGTATTTCTTGAGCCAGGGATCGGGCAGATCGACCCCTGCATTTTTCAGTTTAAATGTGGAAATCAATTCTGCATTTCATCTTAAGTCAGTTTGAATGGGGTTTGCTATCACTTGTAACCAGGAGCTGATACTGTTGTTATGGTAAAGCATCTTACAGTAATGTGTCTGATAACCAGATCAAATATTCTATAATTACAGCTTTGGAAAAATATATTTCAAAAGCAATGTAAATGCTATGTAAATAGTTGCCTGAACGTGGCAAATTCAAGTTTTGCTTTTTGGAATTTTCTGGAATTAAAAAAATATATTTCCTGTCTGTGATTGGTTGAATCTGGGGATGTGGAGCCCACCCATGTGAAGGGCTGTGTCACCAAGCTCATTTGCAGGATGTGCCTCTTCCAATAGGGAGACAGAGCGGAATAAACAATACAGAACCTGGTGCCACTTTAAATCAGTATCTAGAGAAATCTGGGCCCAGGTGGATTTGACATCTTTCAATAAAAATGGGATCTGAATGAGCCATTGAAACTCCCCCGTCCGTGCAAATGCTGGATTCCAGCTATTCGGCTTTCAACATTCAACAGTGTTTTTATGTCCTTTTTATAGCATCCCTTTCTGCAAGTCTGCAGTAGCATTTCATAGTGAAAATTACTGCCAGACAAAGGCCGTATGAAGCAACTTTATTATCACTTCTGTTTTCTAAGGGATCCTTTTAAACACAGCCCACGGCGGCCTCAGTCTTTTTTTGTAGGGACGATAGTGTGGGCTCGTATCTAGGTAAGTAATTAGTATCACTCCCTGGTTTTTTCCTACAAGGCTTTTTCCTAAACAGTGGCCTTCTCTTTTATATATTTGCTGATTGTCATTTTTCCCCAGGTGTCTTACCTTACATTTATCTAAATTAAAACTCCTCTCATTTCCCTCACTTCCTTGCGCAGCTTGGAACCACAGCTCAGCCACAATTTCATCTTTTTTCTCTTCTCTCTTCCTCCCTCTCTTCCTTCCCTCCTTCCTTTCTTTCTCTCTGTCTTCTCCAGGTTAGTGGCATTAAATTGTTTTCCTTCTTCTCATTAGTAGATAAATGGCAGTAAGGTAAGGCTCCTGCCCTTAATATGGGAGAACCCAGAACCAGGAAACACTCCCTCTTGGTCCCTTTCATGGACACGTCGCGTCTTAGTTTTTTATGTCCAAATGCATCACACTGCACATCTTCTCACCAACTTTTCGTGAACTAAATCTTGGCTGTTCACCCAGTCCAATAAACCTCCATTTTGCCTGTCTCTTGAGTCAGTGGGATACAATGAAAAAGACTTGACAAAAGGCAGCCTAGATAATGAAAGAAAAAAGAAATCTTATTAGCATTCTTCCCACTATCTTGTTGAAAATGACCCCTGATGTTTACATGTTTTTGATTCTGTTTTGGCCTCTCAAGCATCCCACATGGTAAATGCCACCATCCCCAGGGAGTGTTTCAATGTGGCTCAGTCCTGTCTTGGAAATGGTGCTAAATAGCAAAACTCTTATTCTCCAAGGTAAAGAGATTTAAGGTTCATTTTCCAAATGGCTGATGTGAAATTCGAAGGTCTCTTGGATCCTTGGCTTGGGAGCAAGGCCATGAATAACGGACTTCTGAAATGTCTTTATTACACCCACTCCTTTACCCAGCACCTTGGGAAGGAGAAAGCATTACATGGAGAATTTTGACTGAAGTATAACTCTGGTTCTATCCTGGTTATCAAACCAAGACACATTTCAACATGACAATAAACTCTTGGCCATAAATACTGATTTTTCAAAAGTATAAAATATGCCCAACTTCTTTATTTTCAAATTTGGAAATTCCTTCTCCTAACTCCAACCCTCCAGACTTGCAAGCAGAACTATTATAATTTGACAAAAATTCACATTCAAGTATATTAACATCATTATAGCACATGGGATGGGTACATGTATATAACATGCATCTGTAAAATGAATAAACTTGCATCATAAAATGAATGAAAAGGACTTCCTGTTATAGGCTTCATTATAGTTGTAACAAAGGCTGGTCTTATCTTTCTTTTTCCTTAGCCCACATTCTCTTTTATAGTTCAGCTGAAATGAAGCATTTACATAAGGACATTTTTGCCGAGTGGGAAATAGCTAGAGAGCTACTAGTTAAGAAAAATCTCCTGTGGTGATCTGCAGGCCAGTTGCACAACTGAGTGTGAACGGTGGTAGACAAGAGGACTGGGGCAGCCTGTAAAGTGGAGATAAATCGTCCCACCTAAAGGAGGTAGCATCCACTCAGGTCCCACTGGTTTTTACCATCCAGGATGAGGGGTCTAGGATGATGCAAGATCTTCTGATTTTTCAATGCAAGTGAGAAATCCTGATTTTTATGAGAAATCTCCAAATTTTGAAAACTATGCAAAAACGAAAACAAAACACTGTCTCAGCCAACAGACAAAACATCTGATGTCTGCAAGTGTCTTGTGGGTTACCAGTTAGCAAGCTCTGTAGTCAGTCAGGTATATGACTTTTGTTTGGGCTCAGTCTTAATTGTTTTAAATGCTATAGGTGTTTCTTAGCTAATGGAGCATTCTCATAAAGCACTGAATTTGAAGATACAAATATAATTAAGGCAGTAACACCAATAGCTCAAAGGAGATTTTATCCAGATGAGAACCATCATTAGAAACCCTAATAACGTACAGAGGGGGTGTTCTGGCATTTTATGAATCAGGCTAGCTGCAAGGGACAAGCCAAAATGTTGAATGAGGCCATATCACAGACTCATGAGAGGATGGAATTTCAAAGGACAAGTGGTAGGCAGCCTATAAATAAATATTTGTCCATTTTAGCACCCTGAAGATCAGGGTAGACTGTCCTGGATAAATCATGTCAGATTAAAGAAGCTGACACTTTTTCCTTCCTTCTTGTTTCTATTTCCACTTTCTGTGTCCTGACTTTCTTCTTCCAGATCAATCAGTTCTCTTCTCCCCCTGGTCCAGGTTGATCCTACCTATGATACAGGCAATTCTTAATTACCTAAGATAATAGTTTATACTCGGTTCTGAAATGCAGTATTCCATTTTCCTAGGTTATTTACAATATTATCCTTAGGTTAATATGAAAATTAGTCTTAAGGAAATTATGCCACCCCATTCTCACACCCACCAGTGCCTTCCTTCTGTTAAAGAAACTCCCTGCTTCTTCTCTTGTCTGAGTCAGTAACAGCCACTGCCTGCAAGTCCCAGGGGCCACTGCCTGCAAGTCCCAGGGGCCATTGTGGGATTGATCACAGGCACCTGTTACCAGGTGTGCCGGTGAAATGAGCTTCTGGCCAACCACCCCACCTCCTCCTCCTTAATATGTTCCTCTCTCAAGAGCAAGACAGGCTCCCTTCTGTAAAGAATAGGTCATGCTCTTGGAACAAATCAACAAAATAACCCTATTCCCTGTGAGTTCAGCATTTCCAATGTGCATTCCTAAGAAATGTGGTTTTCTCATGAGCAGACATAGGAATAGGATGAGTAAGGTAAAGGAGGTATAAGATAGAAGAAAAGAATATTCTAGAAACACGGTCAGGGAATAAGTGGTTCACTATAGACTCATTCAAGAAAAAAAGAGGATCCCAAGGTAGTGTTTGGTCCTAGAAACACAAAGATATGTGAGCTACTATTGTGGGGAGGGTATAGCTCAGGGGTAGAGTGAGTGCTTAGCATGCATGAGGTCCTGGGTTTCACCCCAGTACCATCACTAAGATGTTTTTAATTAAATAAACCTAATTACCTTCCCCCCAAAAGAAAACAACAAAAAATTGTTTTAAGATATTATTAAGCTATCTTAATGAAGTAATAAATAAGATGTGAGCTCTGCCTTCAAGGATCTGAGAGTCTAGGAAAAGGTGCAGACAAGTAATCAGTAATTATCGGTTTACCACAGTAATACAGCAGTGGTAGCACGTACTTCAGAGGAAGTACGGAGACACAAGAGTGAAGCTCTACCAGAGGGCCAGAACGGCAGGTTTTAAAAAAAGTCTAGTTACAGGGTTTTGAAAGAGGAAGGGTCGACCAGAAGGGCTAGCTGGGGAAGGGCGCTCCAGGCATCATGGAGTGGGGTGGGTACACCCTCTCGCTCTAGCAGGGGACTCCTTCCAGCCCTGACATGTAGGCGTGTCTGCTGAGAGGGCACCAGGGTGAAGAGGATGACTAGTGAAGTTGAAGAACGTGACCAGCGCAAGGATGCAGGCTGGCAAAGAGGAGAGATGGGGCACGTAGGCAGGGGTGAAGGCTCCAGAGGAAGCAGAACTTAGGTTCTGTGACGGGGGTGGCTGGAGCTGCTCTGGTTGGTTGGCAGCTGGGAGCCAGGGAGGGATGACGAATGAAGGTAATTAGGGAGGGACCCCTGGGTGCCTCGGGGTGGGTGCACTTCATCCCTACCAGGTGAAGAGGGAGGACAGAGGCCCGGCCGGCGCCTGCTGTGCTGGGACAGAAGGGCGCCTGCTGTGAAGTACCGCACACACGTGGCACAGAACTGGGCACCGGCAGAAGCGCAGGTGTCAGGGCAGAGGGGAGGCTGAGGACAACTGGCTTACAAACCGCACGTGGGGTGTCTGACCATTGCAGCCCACCCAGTGCACCCTCAAACTAGAAGGGAATGCCAGCCGTGGGGCCGTGGAAAGACGCGGCACCCTACTCGGGTCCCGCCCCTTACCCAGGCTTCCCCCAGCCCCCAGTGAGCTCGCAGGCTGAAGCGGGCCTGCCCCTCTGTGCCCTCATCAGCTGCCCTTTGTTAAGTGGCTGGCTTCCACCCAGCCCAAGCCAGGAAATCTCTATCCTTAATCCTCGATTTGTTAATTATTTAAACTGTGTGTGCATGTGCGCGTGTGTGCATGTAAGAGTGTGTGTTTAATTTCCTTTATTAAAAAAGCACACCGGGCCCACTGGGACCGCAAGGCTGCAAGAGGCTGGAAGGGCACCCGAGAGAGATTTCATTCTGAGAATTAGCTGGCAAGCTGGGGAGGAAGCTGCGAGCGTAAGATTCTAGTGGCAACAGAGACTCCTAGCGATGAGAGTGAGCGTGCAGCCCCTGCAGCTCCAGCCTTGGCTCCGTGCTCCGTCCACCCACCCTCTTCCAGCCCTACCCAGCTGGCCCTCCTGCAGGCCTGGCCCCATCTGGGTCGCCCTTGGGCCAGACAGAGCTGTATGCTGCTTTCCAGCCCTTGGGCCAATGCTGCTGGGGCTTGGGACCAGGGACAGCAACGGCCCAGATTTCTGCCCATCATCCTTGAAGTTCTTTAAGAGGTAGGCAAGTGGTGGATGATAACATGATAGTCAAGATTCAATAAGTATCTGTGCAAAGCAGGGTTCTAAATGCTATGTGTTACCTCAATTATTCCTTATCTCAATTACACTTCACACCTCTGATGTGTGTTCTACTGTTACCCCATTTCACAGAAGACGTATGCAAACTCAGAGGTGAAGGAACTGGCCAAAGTTCACATAGCAGTTGACTCTGGAGCCACGCCCCTAAACACACCCCTCCCTCCCCCTGCAGGAGGAAGGCTGTACGGGGTTACTCCGGCCTGCCTCCCATCAGAGCACCAGGTGGATCAGATTTGACACGAGAACAGTTGAAATCAGAAATGTGCACGACAAACACATGGATGCATCATTTTAGAAAACTCGAGAAAAGAAAGCTGTTTCTAAACATGATTTTAAAAAAAAACCAAAACATAAGAGAAAATATCGTCAGGACTGAACACATAAAAATTTTTTTAATCTAAACACTCTTAAGACAGTTTTTTTTTTTAATGAAATTACTGGGGTTTGAGCCCCGGACTTTGTGCCTGCTAAGCATGTGCTCTACCACTGAGCTACATACCCCTCCCCCAAGATATTCAAAAAGTAGTAACTGAGCCCCCATATGACGTGCTGGGGGTTTGCAGGGCTTTGCAAAGATGTGTCAGTCACAGCCTCTGCCCTCAGAGATCTTGTATTTTTGAGAAGGTCAGATATTCAGATAGGATTATGAACACGGCGTTCATCTGATACATTACTTCCTTCTCTGGGGTTCTGATTACTCTGTTGGGAAGTGGTGCATCCAGTCTTCTAGCACCAGTGCTCTGCGTAACTTCACAATCACACCCCACTACCTTTTACACTGATCTCTCCTCCCCAGCGCACACCAGACCAGCTCCTGCCTCCCTAGGCACACGTCCACTCCCACGACTACTGAGTCTATAGGATCCTAACTCTGCCTCCTCAAACCACAGCCATGTATCCATTATCTCACCTAATTTTCACAACAGCTCTATTGAGGTAGTTATTGGAATCTCCACTTTTTTTTTTATAGAAGTCTAGCTAATTTCCAATGTTGTATTAGTTTCTGGTGTACAGCAGAATGAGTCAGTTATACGTATGTATATTCTTTTTCATTACAGGTTATCACAAGCTATTGACTAGAGCTCCGTGTGCTCTGCAGTAGGACCATTTTGTTTATCTATTCTATGTACAGTAGTTCGTATTGGCTAATCCCAACTTTTTAGATATTAACACTGAGACTTAAAGAAGGTCTTGCCAAAGGTTCTAGAAAATGGGACCAGAAAATGAACCCGGGTCCATGGGACATTGGAGTATGTGGCCCTTTATGGCCACAGGCAGCCTAGTTTCCACCTTCTCCTTTCTTTTCTGCTTCCTGCCCCACTTCTCTTGGACAGGCTCCTCTTTCCTTCTTCTTTGATGATCTAAATCTTATCCATTCTTCAGGGTCCAGCTCAAAATCGCATGAAATCCCCCAGTCCTCCCCGGCTGAGCTGTCTTGGAGAGGCCGGGGCTTCAGCCCCGGTAGACTTTCCACAAGCTCATCCAGGAGTTTGATGCAGATGGAAGGGACTCCCAGAGGAATAATTCCTGGATCATAAGCTGACTTCTGGTAACACCCCTGGACTCTCTTGTCCCCTTGGGTGGAAACTCCTTTAAGATGAATGTTCACCTTATTCGCTGCACTTTATAATTCTTCCTGGAGAAGGCCATTCTGAGTGAAAGGGAAACGAATTCAATGCTTGCAAAGGGAAGAGGACTGTACAGCAAAATGTGCCTAATTGGTGAGAAAAGGCCGCTGCAGTTCCTGGCCCTGAACCACGCCCAGCCCACAGGCCTTGAACTTCGGATACTTCTGTCTTTCACCACCTTTATAATTGAAAGGATCCACTCCACTGACTGCGATCACTCTCCCCTTTAGCGAAGCGCTGTGGGAGGTGCAGTGTCATTCAAGGTCACAGGCTCAAAACTGCTCTGGGTCTGGAGTGAGACGGTCGTTCCTCCCCGCAGTTACCTGGCATCTTTTGTGGGGTAAACTAGTGGCTTCTGTTGACGATCTGCGGCTCGGACGTCACCTTCGTTGGCACAACACCTCACTTCCTCGTCACCAACCTCAAAGGAAAAACGCCTGGCTAGGTCCTTGGCCAACGTCCCTCTAACTTAGTGAAAATAAATGGGGATGGAGAACTCGTCACCTTGTCGCCCAGGCCCAAGCCTTCACCCTCCCCCCCACGCTGTAGAGGGGCCTTTTGTGGACCCGCTGCCACAGCTAGCACAACGCTCTCTGCAAGTGGATCCCAGTGGGGGCGGGGAGGCAGAGCTTGAGGGTGGAGCCCCAGAGGGGTGGGGCCTTGGAGGGTGGGGCCCGGGGCAGGGCCTGGGAGGAAGCCGAAGGGAGGGGACTCTTAGGAGCTGAAGGGGGGACCGAGCTCAGGAAGGAGGCAGAGATGATCAGTATCAAATAAAACAGAAAAAAGACAAAAGCATCTCCTGGAGTTGGGATTTGGGCAAAGTCCGTTTCAGTGGAGCAAGAGGGACAGAAACCAAGCCAGGGTGGATTTGAGTAAATAGGAAGGAGGAAGACGAGGCCGTGCTCAGAGACAAGTCCACCCGTTTGTTGGGAAGGGAAGGCAAGCGATGGGCAATATATAGTAGAGGGGCAGTGAAGGGCCAGGAGGGACCCCTTGTTTCTTGGGTAGTTTGGTTTTAAAGATGGAAGTTGCTAAGCAAATTTATTCAAGAGAGCAGCCCAGGGATAGGATGAGGCCTGGCTAAGGTCTGGCTGCTCCCTGGGGAGGTAGGAGGAGGGTAGTTCCCGGATTTGAAACACAGGAAGCCCATCGGCAGGGTCCCTGAGCAACGAGGAGACGTTAGGGGCACGAGGGCCGAACCAAGGAGGAAGGGCGCACATTCCACTGGGCTCTTTCCCTGTAGGCGGGGCTGCGGGGTTGCGAGCTGGCGGGGGACCGGGGGGGGGGGGGTGGCCTTGACGCTGGGTTTGCACACTCTGATGTAGATGGCCTTTCACAGAACAATAAAAATAGCATTTTCCAAGAAAAAAATCTTTTCTAAATATGCTTTGATTCGTTATATACGAGGGAGAAAACCGCGACTGTCCACACTGAAAGCGGCTTTGGGAAGGGGGTTGGCCCCACTCTCCTTGCCTCGGGGGGTCACCTCTGAGCATTGCCTCTGTGACTGAAGTGCCGGCTCCGGACCCGACCCAGCAGGACGCCGGAGCCTCACCCGCCATCCCGGCTCCTCGAGCACCACCCAGTGGCCGCCGAGCGGAACATCACGCGAGCTCAGCGCGGCTCCGGCGTAAAACAGCCCTTTGTCTTCGGAAGGCGCCTTTCCTGCCAAAGCAAACGGCCATGTGTTACAACTACTTGGAAGAACAATCCTGAGAAACAAAGCCCTGTTTTTTTTTTTTATAGCAACAGTGGAAACCGGACCCCACTTCCTTCCTCCAGAATGAGGGCTTTATTGATGCTGGTGGAACCGGTCATCTTGTTTCAGGTATCCGTACACAGAGAGCGAGAGAGGAGAAATTTTTAAGCTCTCCCAGGGATCTTATCAAAGGTCTTTCTGTTCGGGTTACCAAACTGTTACAAAGGACTCTCTTACAGGTGTTCCTCTCTCTCTCTCACTGAGCCTGAATTTCCCTTCCCTGCAGGTTGAGAGCAAGTTGGGGGCATGTAGTGAGTGAAGCCTAAGTGTCTCTCTGTGCCTTCCTGCGGGGGAACAGCATCCCTCTTCTCCACCGAAGAATCTGGCCATCTAGCTGCAGTGACCAAGTGGATCTATACAGTGGGTGCTTTATTATGAAGGAATTCATGAGAAACCACTTCAAAATAAAGGTTTAGCCAAATTCAAAAATTAAAAGTCCATAGTCAATTATTATGCAAAGTAGGATACGGCTTGGGGGGTGGGGAGGCAATCCCTTCCAGGCAGGTTGGTTCCTAGCACCACCTTAATAGCTGTGAGTAATTGAGTTATTTACTCCTTTAAGGCTCAATGTCCTCTGCAAAATGGTGATGACAGTAATACCTACTTCATAGGATTCTTGGGAGTTTTAACGAGATAATATATATATTTAAAGGTTACAAATTTTACTCTAAAACAAGCAGCACAAAAAAAGCAACATTTTGAATTTCTTTAACTCATATTAAGTCAATTGGCCTCTGTGGTGAGAAATTCAATCTCAGTCATGTTTGCGGTCTCCTCCCATCTCTAGGGCCACACAAGAATCACTGGCATATGGTATGGTGTCCAAAAAACAGAGTTGGGCCTCTAGCCTTTATCCATCAGGGTCATTAGAAGATGCAGAGCACACTGGCACCTCTGATTATCCGGTGAAGGGCCGAGTTACTTGTCACGCTCAGGAAGGGAATGTTACTGTCTCACTGGGCATTCCCAGCACTGAGATGGAGTCTGTCCCAAGAAACCGTGTACATTCATGGTACGAAAAGCAAATTGGACTGCTGAACTCAACAAAAATAACAAGCTCAGTCAAAGGTCTAGTGACCTTGGGGTGTCTTTAGCAAATGCATATGACCTGAACATTCAGCTTCAGGAAACCAAGAAACCAGCTCGCCCAGGGTTCCCAGTTTGAGGATGACACCTGACGCAGTCTCTCCGACACAACAGAAACTGTTCAGTCTCATCACTATGAAAGTCTGGACTTCCCCATGGTTTCCTCACTTCATCACGTGCTCGGGCAAGCCCAGGGGGGCAGAAGTCCATGAGAGATCCACCCCTTTCCTGTTAGACCCCTGGGAAGACCCTGCTCTGCTACCATACTTGGAATACAGTCCAGCACTTTGTTAATCCCATTCCCTATTTTGCTTCTGTTCTTTTGCTTTAACTCAGGACCATCTCAGCACATCTCACTGGGATCACATTCTGACCTAGCAAATAGTGATGGCTGTGCTGTTGGGTTTTCGTCATTGCACTCACGTGAGCTCAGGTAGGGGGCTTCACGTGCAGACCTTCACAGCGATGGGGGAAGAGCAGCCTCGGGGAGATGGGAGGGCAGGGCTCAGAGATGGGGGCACTGGGACTGGTGGAAGGTTCCAGAACAGGGCGATGCCTTGTGGTGCCCACGGTGAGGTGACAGCCACATTCGCCACCTCTTCTTCCACTTGGGGGGATGTCTCACTTCTCCTGCTACCAGGCAGCCACAGCGCTCTGGTCTGCATGCCATCTTCTCTGCCATACATTCTGCTCCCTGCTCACACGTTCTGCCTGCTTTGAAACTTCACCTGCTCGGGGTCCAGCATGACCCTCCTCCCTCATAACCTCCCCTTGCCTATCTCTGCAAAGTTCAGAGAGGGAATCCGACAGGCAATGGCAGGGCTCTCTGCCGCAGCCCCTCCTGCTCGCCCCCACCCCCACCAGTGGTTAGCCTATCACCTGGGCTGAAGAAGGCCGCTCAGTGCCAGGATCAGCCTGGGTCTGCACAGGTAGAGTGTTTTGGAAGAGAACAGTGAACACGGGGGATTGACATTGAGGACGGCAGCCTGGGACGTAGCACCCTGTAATCTGCCCCTGTCCTTTGCCTCTTTGCATGTGGTTATATTCACACGTTCATCCCATCTACTCAGGGGCGCCAGTGACCTCCATGCGGTCAGTTCTCCGGCCTCATTCTCCTGACCCAGCTCTTCATGTCTCCCCTGAAAGATGTCTTCCTGGACTTCTGGGCCCCACATTTGCCTGCTTCCACCTCCACACCTTGCCCAGTTTCCTTCGTGGGAGTGTCTCTAAGCTTCAGGGAAGGTGGAATCACAGAGAAGTGGGGTCATTCCTCCCCGAGACCCAGGGAGGGCTCCCAGGCACGTCCCGCCGGCCTGGAATTTGTAGGTCCGATCACAAACCTGCTGGACCAGCTGTTGAAAAGCAATGATTTCCATGTTGGTATTATTCCAGCCACATTAAAATCTGATATCAAATTTTCACCTGGTCATTTAAAATCGTGTCAGACTGGCATTTCATTCATAAACACTGAGGTGAAATTGAGAAGGAAAAATCTTTCTGTAATTTTGTTAAAATGTCCATATATTGAAATGAATGGTGTTCAGTAAGTGAAATGACACTTCCTCTATTTTTCATATTATATATAAAATATTTATATATAATACATATACTTATCTATAAAGCATATATAATATATAATTATACATTATGTAATTATAAATGTATATGAGATAGACGTATATAAAATCAGGTGCTAAAAAGAGAGTGACCAGTGGCTCTAACAAGTCCCTGGGGTTCTCATCCTTGCCTCCATTTATTCCCATCACCCCCACAGCACCCACCGTCTAGTCATCCAGCAGGCACAGGGGGATCCAAGTACAAAATAGGAAGCGGTTTTTATTACTTTCAGTCCCATTCAGAATGGAGCTACCGACTGCAGCAGCCTGTCAACCCGCTGGTGAGAAAACATGAGACCTCCTCTTCCACAAAGGTGAACAAAACTAGACTCACAGTCTAATCTTCTTGCGTCTTACAGACTTCTTTTTTTTTTTTTTAAAGACCAACTGCCACATTACTTTTAAAGCCAACAATGAGACTCCGCCCTGGTCCCTCAACTTTGCCCTCCATACACGCAGATGCAGCAGCCCTGGAATCGGAGACCCACTCGCTCCCCTTGGCCTTGGCAAGTGAAACAGCTCAAAGGGCTGTGAGGCCTGGCCTCCATCCTCCATGTTCGTCCACGCTGCGGAGCACAGGCACTGAAAGTCACAGCTCAGGGGAGATGGAGAGGATGCAGCCTGGAGGATTTCGCACAATTCTGACAGGCGAGCTGTGAGGTTGGTGGAGTTTACCCTCTAAACCAGCTGGCAAGGTGGAGACACAATCTGTTTCATACGGCAAACATCTGGAAACAGAGAGATCTGCCTGCCAGTCCAAAAGACCACCCCCAAGCAGTATTTCTAATTGCTCCTTCTCTGCGCTGTTTTTGCACAAACTCCCTGAGGCCAGCTCAAGCGGTGATTACCTGTGGTCCCAGCTTTCTGCTTGCTCCAGCACACAGGAAATGAGGGACAGCTTTCCAGTTCATTTCTTGAAATCAGTATCACCCGGGTACAAGCCTCTGACAAATATCTTGCCAAGGGCACACCCACAAGACCAATATCATTTACGATAGATATATAAATTTTAAATAAAATACTAGCAAATGTCTACGGAGCGAGAGTGGGAAATGGTACAAATGGGTCCCAAGCCAAAGTTTCAAGTGCACCTTTTCCTTTGCATGCACCCAAATGCCCTCAATAGCTAAAGTTCAGCAGGGGTGGGGAGAGGCTTTCTCATCACTGACCTTGAGAGAAAAAGGGCCTGGACAGCAAACGGGACAGGACCAAGCATTAGGAACGCCTCCCTAAACAGAAAGATGGTCACGATGGTTCACCCTTTATCTGCAGCAAAAGGGGATGCAGTGCCGTCTTGACCGGGCTAAGTACCACCTGCTTAATCCCCTCCCTAAACCTGTCTGAGGGTGGGAGGGAGAGAGAAGGCTGAAATATGAATGAGGATCTAATCCAAATAAACAGACATATTTTTCTGGATGAGAATATTGGGACATGGCCATTCTTCCCAAATTAATTTCTACGTGGGTTTTACTCAGCGTCTCACATGAGGTGGGTGGTAGTGGATGTCAGTGGTGATAACAGACCTTGACAGAAATGAGACTTAAATTCAAGATCCCTAGGGTCACCTGGAGGACATTTTTTAAAAATAAGAGACTAATGCTACCATTTATTACAGTGTATATTTAAAAAACCACAATAGTAGTTATTGCAATTTTAGGAATGATAGGCAGAGATTCGAGAGGCACAGAGGAGGAGAAGGCCACGTGAAGGCGGAGGCAGAAATGGGAGTGATGCCAAGGAATGCTGGAGCCACCAGCAGCTGGGACAGGTGGATTCAGCCCCCATATCTGCCATCACAAGCCGTTTACAACATGACTCAGGCTCAGGGATGCCTGGTGGGAGCAGCTGAAAGGTTACTCCCTGTCTTGCCCCACAGGGGCAGCTTCACCCTTGGGAGAAATCAGGGTTTTTTTCAGTAATAAACATTGAATTGGCCAAAGACACTTGAATTTGTCATGTCTTTCCCTCCTAGTAGACAAAACTTTGCAGTATAAATTATATACATTTTATCCCTGGATAGAACGCCCAGAGATGTCCCTCCTGGTCACTCAGGGATGAAGCCCCAAACAGAAGGCCCAGCTTTGTTCTGACTCTTCACTACACCAGTATTTCTCAAACCATGATAAAGGCACAGCTGGAAGCCTAGTTAAAAATCTCATAATCCAGAGCCCATACCCGGATTTCTCAAATCAGAATTTCTTTGCAGGGGCTCAAGGACGCAAATTTTGAGAAAATTTCTCATGTGATTTTTTAACCCTCGTACACTGTTGTTGGGAATGTAAATTGGTGCAGCCACTGTGGAAAACAGTATGGCGGTTTCTCAAAAAGCTAAAAATAGAATTACCATATGACCCAGCAATTCCATTCCTGGGTATATATATCTGAAAAAAGCAAAAAGGCAAATTCAAAAAGACACATGTGCCCTGGTGTTCACAGCAGCATCATTTACAATTGCCAAGACATGGAAGCAACCTAAGTGTCCATCAATAGATAAATGGATAAAGATATGGAGTGGGTGTGTGTGTGTGTGTGTGTGCGCGCGCGCGTGCACATACAATGGAATACTACTCAGCCATAAAAAGAATGGAATTTTGCCCTTTACCACAACATGGATGGACTTAGGGGGCATTATGTTAAATGAAAAAAGTCAGACAGAGAAAGACAAATACTATATGATAACCCTTATGTGTGGAATCTAAAAAATACAACAAACTGGTAAATATAACAAAAAAGAAACAGACTCACAGATATGGAGAACAAACTAGTGGTTACCAGTTGGGAGAGGGAAGGGGGAGGGGCAACACAGGGGGAGGGGATTAAGAGGTACAAACTGCTATGTATGAAACAAGCTACAGCTCTTGTCTCTGCGCCAATAACTAGAGTAGTATGATCCCTGTCCTTCAAGACAACAGAAGTGACAGTAGGTCGAGAGCCCTATGACCCAGAGCCGCTGAGGCAATGAGGTGTCTACTTGGAGCTGCCAGACAGTCCAACACCTCAAGGTCCTCTTGTAACTCTAGGCTGAAGCCTTCAACTAATGTCTGATTCCCGTCACGCGTTTACTGAAAAGTGCAATCCGACTTTCTGCACAATGAAGAGCGAATTCACGGCCACGGAGGTAATATAACTAGCTTCTTTCCCCTTACTATTTACTAGTTCTAGTTTCGTATGGCAGTGATAAAAGGAGCATTCTGAGCCTCTTAAGTTCTACCTTGGAAAAATTAACAAATGTGAGTAAAAATTCCACTCCTTGCCCAATTCACTCTATATCAAAGCCCTGTGGAACCCACTTCGCCCTACCAAGCCTCACTGAAATCAATGGAGTGAGCGCCTGAGTCCATTTCCATGGGACTTGGCGCTGTAAAAATAATTGGATTGCATTGCACTCTAACACTCCTTTTGGGAAAGAGAGAAAATGCGCCTTTGCTAGGAGGTGGGGGTGAAAATTCGTCTAAGTGCTGGTAGGTTTCACCCTGGGTTCGGTATTGTCTTGTCAAGAGGAGCTATTATCAAGTCCCGAATGAGCCTGGTGGTGCTACCCTCAATGAGGTGTTTAAAACTGCCTTCCCTGGTGAGAATGAAAACACTTCTTTTGTTCTCATCTTCAAAATTAACTGCACAGTATTACCACTATCAATGAGGTGTTTAACATCAAAATTGCCTTCCCTGGTGAGAAGAAAAACACTTACTTTGTTTCCTTCCTTAAAATTAATTGAGGTTTTTAAAAACCGCATCCTTATTCAACCAACAGTTGCATAGAAGGGGAGAGGAAGGAGGTGATGGGACTTTTAAGTGTTGCCTTTAGTAGCTCACAGAGCGTTCTTTCTGTTTGGACCACTTGCTGAACCCTTTCCTGCCCCTCAGCCTTATTTCCCCCCATTATATTTTATAACATTGGTCTCATTGGTGTGACCCTTGGTAGGGAGTTAGTAGGTACTTGCTAGAATGAAAGACTGAAGGAATGACTCCATCAACCCAGATATTCCTCATGAACTTGCAAATTTTTGACTAGCCTACCCTACCTCCTCAACAGGGTTGAAGAAACTGCTTACTAAAAAATTAAAATCAGTCTCTTAACATTAATATTGAGGGCGAACTGGTAGATCTAGCTGAAGATGCTTCCTTTCCCCACTTTCCCCAGAGGTGGCTCTAACTTTTATAGCCATGTGGCTAGTTTGAAATGTGGGGGTGTGCTGAGGGCACTGCCTTTCGTAAGATGCAGCAGAATATAGAAGACAAAAGATGCAAAGTCTTGACTGGTCAAAAATCCAGGTAGGGCATAATAACAAGAGATTAAAAGAATAGATAAAGAACCAGGTTACCTGTTACCCAGATAAGAAATTCTTCACAGGAAAGGAGAATTTGAAGGGGAGGGAACCAAGAGAATTAGGCTGCTGGTGTGTTTCCCTGAGAAGGGGCCCCCTGTCCTGCCTGCTCTTTCCCTCCAGGCAGAACTGCAGAGGGAAGAGGGAAGGAAAGGATGATGAAAAGCCCAGCAGGCTCGGGGCTCCCTGACCCACACCTCATTCCCAGCAGATCCCAGGGGAGCTGCAAGATATCCAGAGTGCCCCCTCCCCCTAGCGTGGCATGGAGGAACAGACTAGACACGTTCGGGCAAGTGGACCCAAGAAAGCCTTGTAGAGAATCAGCGCCCCCAGCAAGGTCCAAGAGGCAACGTCTACCCACGCCTCTCTCAGGCATGGGTCTAGCGAGGACAGTCCTCTGACCTAAAGAGGCCCCACCGTGAGGAAGAGGAGGATGAAGCAGTGGCCTCCACGGACAGACATGGACCAAAAATTGACAGGAAAGGTGGATATTCCAAAGGATGCCTGGGAATGCCTCATTTTGAAGCCCCAGCCCCAGCCCCGTGCCTCCACACTATGTAAGCGCCCTAAAATGGATACCCGTGATCCTGAATGGACTGAAATTAACTTCCCGCTACTTGGAATGGATCCTTAAAACGGAAAATGTCTCTGTCTCTCACTCCTAGATTAAATCTAGGGATAAACACAAGCGAAGAGAGTCACAAAGGGATGGGAAAGTACAGAAAATAATACCCCATCTTGTTGGCATTAGGAGGAACAAGAAGACTAAAACCATGGAACTGTTTTTAGGAAAGGTCTATACAAGGCTATGTAAAGAAATATAAAATTGGCATAAAAAGATTTTACCACTTCGGCTAAGATGTGGAGGAAAGGGAGTCATCTTGATAAGGGTTCCCACTGGAGAATTATCTTGTGTCATTCGAAGCTCCTTACTATCATCCTTTCTTTCAAATCTTTTCTAGTATTTGGTGATCCTTCTGTGCATATGATTGTTACCCTGGCTTTTCTGAGTGTAAATTTGCTTTATTGACTTTGTTATTTCCCTTGCATGATACTGACCCTACTCAGATGTTTTATTCTTCTTAGGGTGGAGGCATGGCTCAGACCTGTCCAATCAGAATATTTCATATCTCTGGCTAGAGTGTTTATTTAAGGGATAAATATTATGACCCAACAGACCCTCAGGACAATGGCAGAATCTATCAGGAAAGATAAGCTGTCTTTCCACAGCAGCTGCTGAACTGTGGGGATGTATATGCCTGGGCTGCTGGGAACCATCTCGCCACCTGCACGAAGATCTTCTCTGAGACTGAGGCTAACACAGAGAAAGCAAAGTCTACAGATGAAGAGAGGCAGGCTTCCTGATTATACTGTTTGAGTACCTGGATCCCAAAAGTCTGCTCCCTGGGTTGTCAGTCATACAGCCAGTAAATTCTCTTTTTGGTTAAGCAGAAGCCATTTTAAAATCATAATTTTTGTCACTTGCAACTGAAATTAATCAAACTAGAATTTTTGAACCTGTAGAGAAAGCCCAGTTTCCTACGTCTTCACATCAGGAGATGCCCAAGGGGCCTTTCTAAAACTGAGGGAATTGCTACGCCACAGGAAAAAGAGGTGGAGTGTTGCCTATCTTATCTGCCTTTCATTTACATGCTGATTTTCGAAACTAACCCGTATGAAAGATGTAACTTCACTATCTTATTTAATTCTCACAGCAGCAAACATGTTTACTGCAAATAAGAAATACTCCAACTTATTTAATGTTAGGGCTTAATATAAAAACAAAATGGCACCAAGCCCGCAGGTAAGCAGGAGCACTGTGGAATTCTCCACCCGCTGCCTGTTCACCCTTAGGGATTAGATCTTCTCTTAAAGCCATATTTTTTTGAAAGTCCAAATAGCTGCCATATGGTCTCTCCCCAGAATTTTCTTACACGACGTGAGAATCAAGAGCTGACTGTCTAAAGTTGATAGATTAAGAAATTAAAGATTAAGTACAATATTTAAGTTTATGACAGGTGGCCAACAGATGAACATTTAAAATACAACAAAAATTGGGAGAAGGAAGAGGTAGTGTAAGTGATATGGATTTACCCACCTTTCACATTCAGGAATGAAATAAAGTGCTTAAAGTTGAAAATCAAGAAATAAAAACATAAGCATATAATTTGGGGTTATGAAAACAGCCACCCAAAGAAACAGAGACAAACTGACATTAATGATGATACATGTAGAGTGGGACCAGGCTGAGAAGGGAGGGAGATTTTCACTTTCATTTTATGGCTTTTAATTCTCTTTAAATGTTTCACTTCTGTGTGCACATATAATTTATAATTTAAAAAAAACTTGGCCAGAACTTGAAGTATGTGTATCAAGGCAGCTTGTTCCCCTGCTCTCTAAAATGTCCACTTCCAGCATTCTCTACTCCACCAGAGACTCCATCTCAACTTCCCATCTCCAAATTACAATCTTTTTCTTCCTTTTAAAATGGAGGAAGTGCCTCTCCATGTACTTGAGGTTAATCTCTCCTCCTGTGCATTGGATCCCAGCCCTCCTGACTTCTTCAGAAATTGTCTGTTGGCCCCCATTTCTTCAGTAACTTCAAACTCTCCCTCTTTTAGCTTCTCCCAATCAGCACTTGCATATGCTTAAGCTACTCTCATCTGAAATTTAAAAGTGGCCTGGACCCCATGACCTTCTCCAGCTTCCTCTCTCTTGTCTCCTTCACAGCAGTGTCTCTGTTTCCTACTCCTGAAGTTACTCCAGTATTGCGTCTGCCTCCACCACGCCACCGAAACTGCTTTTACTAAGTCTGCCAATGGTTCCAGTCTCTAAGTCCAACCCTATGGTCTGTGAGAGACAAGAGGGGTGTGCGTGCTTGTGTGTGTGTGTGTGTGCGCACATGTGTGTCTGTGTGTGTGCGCGCGCGATGGAGGGAGAGGAGGGAGTGGTGTAGTTGGTTATCAGAGCTATAAAAGCTCTGTGCTCATTTCTTCTCTTCCAAAGACCACCCCTCAGGGACTAATGGGCTGTCTTCTCCCAAACGTCCAGGCAAAACCAACACTTCCCCCCTCCGACCACCCCCACCCTCCCGGATTCTCACAAGTTCCCTTCTCACCTTTTCTCTCTGAATCCTTCCTCCCTCCTATCTAGAACATAATTTGCCTCCATTTGGTGCGAAGTCTCTTTTTTTTTTTTTTTTTCAGTTCAATATATGCCCTTCTTCTTAACTCTGTGGTCCATGGTCTATGCCCTGAGTCTTCAATCTTCAAAGTCAACCTTTTAAGAAAAGAAAAAAATCTTTTCTACCAAGCAACTGGCTTTTGCAAATAAGAAATGCTCCAACTTTCAGACCATATTGCTTTTATCGTAACTTTAAAAATTAATTCTGAAATCCAGGCTCTACTCGCTCTTCCTTCAAGGCAATGAGGCCCATGGGTGGAAGGCTACAGGGCAAAAAGAAAAAAAGTGAGAAAATTCTCGGTTTAAAATGTACAAATATCATCTAGGTATGGAATCATAGATTCTTTTTTTAAATTGAAGTAGAGTCAGTTTATAATGTGTCAATTTCTGGCATACAGCATAATAGTTCAGTCATATATACACATACATATATTCATTTTCTTATTTTTTCATTATAGGTTACTGTAAGATATTGAATATAGCTCCCTGTGCTATACAGTATAAACTTGTTTATCTGTTTTATATATCGTAGTTAGTATCTGCAAATCTCAAGCTCCTAATTTATACCTTTCCACCCCATAACCGTAAGTTTTTCTATGTCTGAGTCTTTGTTTTGTAAATGTGTTTGTCTTTTTTTAGATTCCACATATAAGTGATATCATACGGTATTTTTCTTTCTCTTTGTGACTTATTTAACTTAGAATGACAGTCTCCAGGCCCATCCATGTTGCTGCAAATGGCATTATTTTACTACTTTTTATGGCTGAGTAGTGGAATCATAGATTCTTTAACTTGCTATCTTTGCCAAATAATTCACAAAAGGAAAAACCACGAAATTTCTCTAGTCTTTTAATTTGCCAGATTTCCACATCCTTTCACCCCTCTCAAGTTTCAGGGAAAAAGAGCAAAGTGCAAAACTAGAAGCAAAATCCCAAGCTTCAAAATTTCTCCATGCCTACGTTTTTATGCAGCTTCATTTGGCATGGCAGGAAAGTGGGCACTATTATTTTCATACAATAGCTGAATTTTGTCTGTTCCAGTATGTATGTAAAGTACATGGCTCTTTCAATTTATCTTGTCTAAGTGACTTTTTTTTGCTTATTCTGACTCATTATCTTAAAACCCACAAATATTTATTGAAAGCAAAAATTTTAATTCCGTAATTTATCATTAATATATCACTTCTTTTAACTTATCATTAAATTTCATTAATCTTAAAACACCCAAATACCTAATACTGGAAACATAACAATGAGGAAGCCGGCAGTAATGTTTCAAGTGTGGACATTCTAAAATGGAAAAAAATGCAGAAAAAAATAGTTCTCAGAGGGAAACGGGGCGTAGAGACATACGCACTTTTCCAAGCCGCCTCCCGGCTCCCCGTCCAGCTGGAGGTTAATGGCTGTTAATTTAAGAAAACGCGACAGAGACAGCAGGCCCTCCGCCCAGTGTTTAAGTTACTGACCAAAAGCCCACCCGAGAGAAAGCGGTTCGGCCCGGGATGAACCGCGAAAACCAAACCCAAGTCTGCGGCGCCAGAGCTGGCTTGCAGGAGGGCTCCACGGGGCAACATGGAACTGGATTAAACGTCCCCTTATTACCTTTATTATCACTACGACTTAGGCTAATATGCACCCGCACGTTCCTAAATGCCCGAGACCCGGACGGCCGCTTATCTACATTCGAAATAGCGCTGGAAGCTGTTTTCTGACATAATCGAAAGATGGAGGCGAGCTTTTGTTTATTTTGGCCCCGCTCGAAATCAGCGTCCCGGGGCCGAGCCGCCCCGACCTCGCGTCCGAACTGCGGCTCAA